GCAAAGGTACTTGCTGTCTAATACTGTACGCCTTCCAACTTGAGTTTGATCTCAAGAGCCCATGGGAAAGTAGAAGAAAAACAACTCCACAGAGTTGTTCTCTGACTGCCACATATATGCCATGACATTCATGCCTACACACATCACATACACAAAGTGAATTAAAAAATAAGTCTTTACTAAAAAAAATAATAAAAAAATCACAAATCTATTGGATCTTTCTGTTGCTTACTGAAGCAGGGTCTCCGAAACTCCAGCTGGCTTTGAACTTGAGCTTCTCAAAAACCAGTATTAGATAGATGCATGCCAATATTGTGCTAAAAACTTGAATCTGTACTAGGTTAAGATGACCAGTAACTTTATGAATAATATGCAGAATTGTATTGCTAATTCTTTAAAACATTTAAATGCATCTTTAAAAAAACAAGCTAATATAAAAGGTGATTTCAGAGTTGACAAAGGCTCAAAAATTCTACCTATGTAATAGTATAAAAACCTTAATAAGCCAACGACAACAGTGCTAAGTCAATAGTACATCTGTCTACTAGAAAATCCCACTCCTTTGCTCCCCATGAGAATACAATAACCTTTTTGGCTGGCTGTAGTAACTATGTATGCACAGGGTAACTTTAAGACTTTTGTTGTTGCTGCTATTCTCAACAGGTTCTCAATGTTTATTGTTTGTGGCCTGAACTTGCTTTGAATACAAGGCTGGGCTTAAACTTCTCACTCTCCTGCTTCGGTTTCCTGAATGTGGGGATTTCAGGCATGAGCCACTGTGCCTTGTCTACACACACACACACACACACACACACACACACACACACACACACAAACATATAAATATACATATATATATGTTAACTTAGTTCTTATTAACTGATCTTAGTTCTGATTATTAACTTTTATCTATTTCTAGACAAAAGCCGGTTTTCCCCCAAGACAGAGTACAATGATTACTGTTAAACTAAGACCATAGACTACGTTATTGTTCATTGGTAGAGTATTTGCTAGCATGCAAAAGGCCCTGAATTTGATTCCTAATACCACCAAAAGAACATTATTTAGGCAGAAATGAAAACTGTTCTATTAGAAGCACTTTATTAAACTCTTGGTAGAAAATATTTTGAGAGTACTGATATCAGGAATTGATCTTTTGGATCTTCAGAGTCAACTCTTAATTCTACACTGACTGAATAGTTATAGATTGTTTCATACTTAAAGAGAATGGGCTACTGCTTAGAAAACTGTTTCCTGGCTTGAGGAAACGTATCAGGGTGAAAACTGAAATTCTGGATGGCTTAAACAAATGTTAACTGGGGGTGATCTCATACCTCTGTGATTGTAGCACTCAGGAGGCTGAGGCAGGAGAATCTAGAGTTTAAGAGGAGTCTGGACTATACAAGACACTATCTTAAAAATAAAAGTAGTGGCATGACAAATCACATTTGTTCCCATTGATTTAGTTATTTAGTGTGTGCATGCATGTATGTGCCAAGGTCCACATATGTGGATCAGAGGACAACTTCTGAGAGTTGGTTCTCTTTTTCCACTATTTGGGTTCCAGGGATGGAGCTTGAGTCAACAGGCTTGGCAGCCAAGTGCCTTTAACTACTAAACCATCTCACTAGCCCTGTATTGTTTCTCATTATAAGACAACTTTCTGACATGAAAAAAAAGCTGACAAGCAATGGTCAAAACAGCAGAATCGCATACTAAGACTGCTTTCAAGGTTATTCTTTAGCTGGACATAGTGACACAAGTTTATAATCCCTGGATCTAGGAGGCTAAAGCAGGATTATCAAAGCCCGTCTGAGCTACATAGTAAGAGACTGTCTTAAAACAAATAAACCAAACCAAACAGCAAAAACCCCAAACAAACCCGATTTTTTGCCTCTTCTAAAGAAGTTAATAGTAATTGCTCAGAATATAAACAGTTCTGATAAACAACCACCATGTTTATCAGCATGGTGGCAGGGCATACGTATAATGCCAAGGACTTGGGAGACAGAGGCAGAACTAATTTCCTGCTTGCACACTACACAGTGAATTCCACGCTTGGAACACACAGTGGAACCTTTCACCCCAAATCCCTGCAAATAAAGAGAAAAGGCTTTCCAGTTACCTTCATTCTTCTTCAGTAATGAAAGCAGGAAACCACATATCAAATGTCAGTAGGTAGAGTATAAATTAACTTGGATTAAAAATATAAATAAATTCAGCTGGATGTGGTGGCACATGCCTTTAATCCCAGCACTTTCGAGGCAAAGGCAGATAAATTTCCAAGTTCGAGGCCAGCCTTATCTACACTGTAAGTTCTAGGATAGCCAGGGCTACACAGAAAAACCCTGTCTCAAAAAATCAAAACCAAGCACGTACGCACATGCGCGCGCGTGTGCGTGCGCACGCGCACATACACACACACACACACACACACACACACACACACGAGAGACAGAGAAAGACAGAGAGAGAGACAAAGACAAAGACAGAAAGACGGGAGTGCATGAATGTACCCATACATACAGGAATGCATATATGTACACATAGACGAAGAAAATCTGTAAGAATAGGATCAAGTGGTTCACCATGGGGTAGATTAATACATGCTTAATTTTGGGGGGGACTATTTTCAGAAATCAGTATGTATCTTTTGTGACTTTAAAAATGAATTTAAAATCACTCTAATGATGCTCAATTATTTCTAGATAAAAGTGGAAAACCCAGAACACTCTTCAATTCTGAGAATTTACATATTTCATACATTATATGAAAATACCCATTGCATTTTCTAAGCAGTCTTCATTTGTACAGCTTTTACGTGGGATACAGAGACCATACAGCAGAGAAAACAAATGTAACAGCCTTTGTGCTATGTGCTATATGCTTCCAGCTCTGGTGGTTCAGCATATTCTGGGACTAGTGTCTCTTTCTTATCTGGAAAAAAACATCAACTCTTCCAAGAGCTTTGGTATAAATAAAAAATTCACCCAATTCTTGAATAAAAACACAATATTTTAAAGTTTAAGGATCAGAGCTGGGCGGTAGTGGCACAAGCCGTTAGTTCCAGCACTCAGGATGCAGAGGTAGGCAGATCTCTATGAGTTTGAGGCCAGCCTGGTCTGGTCTACAGAGCAAGTTCCAGGACAGCCAGAGCTATACAGAGAGACCCTGTGTAGGGAGAAAAGAAAAGAAACCACAAGTACTTGAGCAAGTATATCTGGGGGCTGAATCCTTATCTGGACCTTGGAAGTTCTCATCTGAAAACAGTCCAGAGAATAAAAAATTCTGCAATATCAAAGCAATATTTGATGACAGATTTTGAAAAAAAAAATCTGTCAGTAGCTGTGGTGTTACTTTTACTGGAACTACAGGTAAACAGCAGCTATATCATTTTGTCTTATGCTAATTACTGTCTTCAAGGGAGAACATGATTTAATGTTCTGTAAATGGTTGTACATACTTTTTACTAAAGTTTGGTTTTTAGAAGCTATTGTTAGCTTAATGCCTTGACTCAGGGAAAATTATGAAGACAGTATTTTAATATACTGACTTTTAAACTATGTCAAATACAGTACTGGAAAATGTACCCAGTATACTGGATACACAATGTACAACATTCTTTTCTATTGCTATAGTGTTGTTAGTGACTCAATACAGATATAAATTAGAAATATAATATTTAGGGATAATTTTTGTTTGTTTGCTTTCTTTTTGAGACAGAAGTCTCACTCTGTAGCCCTTGCTGGCCTGAACTTGCTATGTCGATCAGGCTGGCTTCAAACCCACAGAAGTCACCTGCCTCTGACTCCCAGTGATGGGAGTATAGGCCTGTGCCACCATGGCAGGCTTAGGAATGAACTTTTTACTGTATACTACTGTCGCAAAATAAAAGGGGGAAGAGGAGACTATTGGAAAGAATTTTTACAATTTTATGGCTAGAAAAATTAAAGAACAACACATATCAGCAAACACCTATCAATACGTGATACTACTTCCATCTGAAAGAATCCAGAAAGTAACTCTGTGCTAGAAGTCATGCCATAAGTTCACTACAGATGAGTCAGATTTGTGGTTCTTACTCTTTTTGTCTTTCTATGGACAAAGGCCTACTGATAGACCATTTCATTAAGTAGGAAGATAACCAGGAGTACCTAATAAAATATTAGCTTAAATAATACTTTTTCAAACTCCTTCACTAATGTAAGTAACCAGAAACTTAAATATGATTTCTATTAGTATTCAATAGCCAAGAATCCTTCCAATTAATTATAGCTAATGTCAATCATCTCAATTTCAGAGAACTACCGACTTAATGGCTAGAAATACAGCAATGGAGGCAGACAACCATGATGAGGGTTCTGACATGGCATGTATCGAGCATGTTTAGTCATTAGCATTTAACTCCTTGGTAGACCTTAGAGTTAGTTCTAGTATTGTAACTCCTCAGATAATCACATCCAAATTCCCACATTTCAGGATTTATACATAAAACTGATGCCAATTATTTAAATTGCTGCCAAAAATTATTTTAAAAAGCTATCTGCTAATACTTGCTTCCCAATTTTAAGCCTTATTCTGACCCTGACATATTACAAAAATCAATTTATCTGTAGTGGGTGCAAATTATTTGATATTGATCCTCTATCACCTCAATAATCTAAATAATCTAGCTGTAATATTTGCAAGGTAAGGCTTCTCCTTTTTTTTTTCCTCCCCAGGTTTATTTATTTACTATATATACAGTGTTCTGCCAACATACATGGCTGCATGCCAGAGGAGGGCACCAGATTTCATTAGAGATGGTTGTGAGCTACCATGTGGTTGTTGGGAATTGAACTCAGACCTCTGGAAGAGCAGCCAGTGCTCCTAACTGCTGAGCCATCTCTCCAGCCCATAAGGCTGCTTCTTACATTGTTCCAAGCATACAAAATAGAGCATGCCATTTTACTCCATGTCAGCAAACACATTTAGGCATAAGCATTCTGTTAAAACAATAGCACTGTTTCTTACTCAATTTTTATTGATACTTCATTTAATTGAACTTCGATTTTTTTCAAAGACACTGGTTAGTCAATAATCTCACCACATTATTTGATACTGTGCAACTAAAAATTATAAGGTATATTAGATCTTATTTTGAATATGTTCCCCTCAAAACTGGAAATCTATACTATTATACAAATCAATCATTCTATTTCTCTTTGAGAAGTAAACTATGCACACCACATTCTTTGTGATCACACACTGAATTTATTAGATGGATACTGAAGGGAAAGTGCAATCTGAAGCCATGGAATGACTTCGTGCATGTGAAAAGTTAATGAACTTAAAAGGATCAGAGACTCAAATCCTTAGTCTCATTAGTATCACACTCCACCCATGTTAACCTGTCCAAACGGTTCCATAAGACCATGAAAACTAAAGAACTAAGAAAGAAAGGCTGTATTTCCCATCCATCTTCAGGTTTCAGAGATGATGCAGGTTTATGAAATTCTCACATCCTGAAAAATGATTTCTTACATACCTCACCTCTTAACCACAAAATTACAGTCATCTGGAATGACTCTAATCTGAGGACATGATAATCAATTACTACAACCAATGTTCATTCTGTGGAGTACATAGCTATCTGGAATGATAGCTATACAAAAACAGAATTCGGTGAAAAGTAACACTTTAAACATTTTCATATCAAGAAAAGATGCTGGGGAGGCTTATTAGTAGTCACTGTTTATGTGTTAAAATGTTAAAGACGTACATTGGAATATGAAAAGAAAGTTGATTTATCTTTTCTGGAAGTTTGCAAGCCTTATTCAAGAAAGATGATGGATGGACCAGGAGAATTCAACTGCAATTCTAAGACGGGTACAATTCAGAACTGTTAAGGTATTCCAGAATTGAGTATACTAATGCTAAAAGTGATTATAAAAAAACAACAAAACAAAACAAAAAATGCTCGCATACAGTTTGGTGGGATTTCATACTAACCATTAGAGGAGGTAGTGATACAATGTGTTGGAACTTAAAGTACAATGTCAGCATAAACTGTAAACAATTCTGAAATATGTATGTAACCTTTCAGAACACATGTAGTGAAAAAGAATTAGATTTCATATAAAATTAGAATTGAAAAAAGCAAAAAATAGAAATATTTAGTAAATTTACTCAAATGAAGTTTAAATGTTACAGAAATGAAAAATATTAGAAATCCATATACAATAAAAAGTGAATATAAATTAGCCAACTCCAAGAACATTTTCAGTTAAACATTCAAATACATATTCACCTTTTTCTTTATATAAGGATAACACATACATACAAACATAACATGAAGATTCTGGCAAAAAAAAAATCAGAGATGCTAAAAATTTCTCAAGTTTAAAAAATGGTGTAGAATATATTTCAACAACAACATTCTACATGAATGTAAACCCCTGATTTAATTCCATGATTTTATCATGCCAGAGCATGGTTGCTTTTAATTTTTAAAAAGAGATATTGGTATTATAACACATTGGCTTATCAATAATTAAGGCATTTGTACACGGTATCAGCGTGGACAAAAAAATTTAATATTACTTACTATAATGTTTTAAACTTTCGAAGTCTTTTCAACAGAAGAAAATAGCTGCACACATTTAAGTGTTTCTTCATAAAACACAATAAAATTAATGATTGGTCTTTATAGTTCCTGGTAAGAAGTCCTGTCTTGCTTTCGTATACTATAAATGATATTCTTATGCAGGATTGAGATAAGACCTAGCAGTTCTTAGGCAACGCTACCAAACGGCCATAGAGATCTGTGTGCAGCAAAGGCGAACAGTCTTCATAGTGCACTTTCACCTCATTGAAGCTGAAGCTGCTCCTTCCGGATATTTCCACTTCAATGTGAAGTAGATTGTTAGGATTTCATTAGTGGTTTTATTATGTGGCTTTTTAAAAGAAAAAAATTGGTTTTATTTCTTCCACAGTTCACAGTTCTCAGGAGAGACCTACTTCTGGAAATCATATAATCCAGCACTGTTTGAATAGCCAAATACTCTTTAGAAGATGAAATCTCTCAATGCAACTGTAATAAATAAGCATCTACGTCCTTAAAGGATAAAACAGAAACATCCCATTAGTTAATAAAACAAATACAAACATACACAACCTCTTTCTTTTCTGCTTTGTTTCTTAATTTGCCCTAGTTCCCTTTGTAACCTTTAAAAAGAAGGAAGAAATCTTATTCAAAAATTTTATCTGCATTTGTTTATCGCAGGGCCTGGAACATAGTACATGTTCAATAATGTTGATTAAATACTAAGTGAATGTTTTTGATTCCTGTGCTCAAACAACTCCACTTTGCAGTTAACATTTGTAGGAATTCTGTAAGTGCTGTATAAATCAAAGCCTGAAGCATAGTTTGACAATATCATTTCTCTCATTTTTAAAAATGAATTATTTTTATGTATATGAGTGTTTGCATGCTTGTATGTATGTGCAGCACATGTACACATAGTGCCAGAAGAAGCCAGAAGAGGACACGGAATCCCTTGGACCTGAAGTTACAGAAAGCTTTGAGCTGCATAGTACATGGGTACTAGAAAGAGAACCCATGCTCTCTGTAAAAACAATGCATGCTCCTAACCACTGAGCCAGTCACCTCTCCATATCCACACCCTACCCCACAGTCATCTGCTTGGATTTTTAACCTGAGAAAAAAAGACCTAGTGGAAGAGTCAAGGACTGCTGTGGGAGAGGAAGCCGCTGTCTTCAGATGTGCCTGAGAGGACAGCTCATAAACAAAACCAAAAGCAAGGTAAAAAGATAGAAAAGTGGAATGGGGACTTAGGAGCGTAGGGTGACTGGAGGTTGTGGGAGGATACGATCAGTACCAGAATGTACTATACACATGTATGAAACTGTCAAAGAAAACATTCATTTTTAAAATGACATATTGGGGGCTGGTACTGTAATAAAGACTTTATTATAGACCTTACATTGAAATTAATTGACAATTTTCAGTATAATCAAAATATCTTAAGGTCATGTTTATAAGAAAACTTTTCCTTTTTAATAAAAAGAGAATTTAAGATAGCCAGGCTTGGCAGATTCCTCTGGTCCCAGCACGTAGGGAACTGCAGCAAGAAGATGGTAATCTCAACACCAGTGTGGGCTTCACAGTGAGTTAAGGACAGCCCTACCTACACAGACCTTGTCTCAATAACCATAACTTAAAAAAAAAAAAAAAAAAAAAAGCAAAATTCTAAGGAAACATGCTTCTCAGCTCTACTAAGGTCTTCATAGTAATGTGTTACGTATACTTTAAAAACACGAAACAAGCCGGGCGGTGGTGGCGCACGCCTTTAATCCCAGCACTCGGGAGGCAGAGCCAGGTGGATCTCTGTGAGTTCGAGGCCAGCCTGGTCTACAGTGTGAGATCCAGGAAAGGCGCAAAGCTACACAGAGAAACCCTGTCTCGAAAAACAAAAAAAAAAAAAAAAAAAAAAAAAACACGAAACAAAAGCTGGGCAGTGGTGGCGCACGCCTTTAATCCCAGTACTCAGGAGGCAGAGCCAGGTAGATCTCTGTGAGTTTGAGGCCAGCCTGGTCTACAGAGCCAGATCCAGGACAGGCACCAAAACTACACAGAGAAACCCTGTCTCGAAAAACCCAAAAAAAACCAACCACAAAACAATAAACAACTTCAGGGAAACAGAGTTCTGTTTATAAAACTTTCATCATTAAAGATTCTGAACGATATTAAGAGATGAATTTGAACAAAGCATGATTATACACTAAACATTAAAGAAAATCACATTAAGTCAATAATCAGAGTAAAAGTAGTGAATTAAAAAGGAATTCTTAGCCAGGTATGGTGGCACAAGCCTTTAATCCCAGAACTTAGGAGGCAGAGCCAGGCGGATCTCTGTGAGTTCGAGGCCAGCCTGGGCTACAGAGTGAGTTCCAGGACAGGTTCCAAAGCTACACAGAGAAACTCTGTCTCGAAAAAAACCCAAAAAACAAAACAACCAACCAAACAAAAGGATTCTTGCCAGGCATGGTAATACACACTTTAGTCATAGCATTTGGGAGGCAGAGGCAGGCAGACTTATGTGAGTTTGAGGCCATCCTGGTCTATATAGCAAGTTTCAGGCCAGCCAGGGTTACATAGTGAAACCCTGTCTCAACAAAAACAAAAACAGACAGACAGGTGAGGCAGAGAGGGATAAAAGGGATTAGGGAATCTTTTGAATACAATCATATATAGGTACACATTTAATGCCTGATGTCATTTGTTCCTTTTTATATAGGTATCCAAGGAACATTTCATGAGCCGATGATAAAAAGATTTCGTTAATCCATACAATGCTTTTATTTCCTGGTAAATAACTACTCATGATAGCAAATACCCAGCAGTAGGCAGAATCTTTTTTACCACTAATTCTTTCTGTAATTATAACTATCAATGTCTTCTTGGAGTTTAAATATTAAAATTTAAACTAGCAATGTACCTTTTTCCTGTAAGAGACAAGCATATCAATATAGATCACTATTAAATTCATGTCTAACTTTTAAATTACAAATATAGATTACCTTAGCTATATTACCAGTATATCCTGGAACCAAAGTAAGATGGTTTTCCTGTTCCCATAATCCATTCAACTGCTGCTTTAAAATCTTAATATTTCTGAGAGGAAAAAAAAGAAAACTGAGAAAGCAAATACTAAGATACGGACTTGTTTTTAATTTATATCAGTAAAAAAAATACACTAAAGTCAAGCAACTTCTTAAAGTAGTACTAGCCAGGCACAGAAATTCAAGGATATTTAGTTACAAAAGTAGATGAGACAACAAGCAGGTTTTTGTAGCATGTGAACATCTTGAGTATGACACAGAAAATTCTGAGTCTACAAAGATTATAGAGTTAAGAGGCCATTAGGGAAGAGAAAGTATGTTTTCAAGACTGGCTTTTTGTTTCTTTGTTCCTCCTCCTATTTTTATTTTATTTTACTATGCAGACTAGGCTAGCCTCAAACCTGTGGTCTTCCAGCCTTGGCCTTCCCAGTGTTGGAATTATAGGTGTGTTCCACCATGCCTGGCTTAGAGTCCAGCTCATCTGTGTAGAATCCTATTTTCAAGCTAAGGAAATATTCAAATCATGATGATTGTAACTTTTTTTGTTTTTGTTTTCATAGAGATCAGGCAGGATACTTCCAAATACTGCACCAAGGGCAACTCCTTCCTTCTCTCTTTTTGGTACAGTGCATATGAAGGTTAAACCACTGCTGTGGGGTTTCATTCTTGAGGGAAGGGCTGAGATAGGTGTGCTGTCTTACACTCTGCACTGAGGAAGTTGGGGCTAAAGACTGCTGAGTTTGAAGGTAAGTCTTGGCTACACAATGAGACTGTCACAAAATAAAACAAACAACAATATAAAATAAAAGGTAGGGTTCTGGCAGAAGAGATACAGGGAGTTAAGGGGCTCTGTGTAGTTCTTCATAAATAAAAAGCACCCCAGTTTAAGATTTCTCTGAAAATGGAGAGAATAAAATTACACAATGAGGATCATGGGATATGAGCCTCACTACTTTGTTTAGTTAAGACACTTTTCCATAGAAATTTCAGCATGAATTATCTTTAAAGCTATACATACCCATCACTTGTAATTTCTGATTTAGATGAGAGTTCTGACCACCACCTTTTTATTACTGCTTGAAGCCAGTTTAAGCCAACTATTACATATCTGAAATGAAATATTTTGACAGAATTTGTTTCCATATAACAAGCCTTTAGAAAAGATGATACTCACCCACCTAAAAGCCCCCATATATACACCTACCTCTCCCTTAAGAAAAAGGTATTTCACTACTTTCATGATCTTCTTTATAAAACCATAGTTTACACAGCTATTCTTAGATGCTTTTTGTCACTATCCTTTATTATTTACATTTCTTTCCTGTGGGAGCCCGTTCTTGGGTTCCTCGTGGCTTTACCCAGTAGGTCCGCATAGAGAATGATTAGGACCACGGGCCTGAGTGCAGGTGTCTGAGATGGTCTGCACTTGGCTGTGCTGGGGGAGGAGGTCTTTTGCTCCACCCCTTGGCGTCTCTATAAAAACCCTGGGGCAGAGACAGTCGGGGCCTGTTGGAATAGGTTCCAGGCCCTCTCAAGGCTATCCTTTATTTTCTATCTGTTTATCTCTGCAAGCTTCTCCGCAATAAATCCTTCTATCTAATATTTCCTGCTGCTCGCACTCAAGAAAACTCTGGGGAACTGTGGGGGTGGTGGGTAAACGCCCCACACTTTCCTAATCATACTAGAAACTCCTTGGAAATAGAAACAATAAGGCTGGAGAGAGGGCTCAGTGGACAAAGGCACCTGACACCAAACCTGACAGTCCAGTTAATCTCTGAATTAAATGGTGGAAGAGAGAACCAACTGCTACAAGTTGTTCTGACCCCCTCTGTCACAATAAATAAAATGTAGCTCAGATTTTTTAAATTAAAAAACCAAGTATCATATACATCCCATGGAGCCCAGTTTCCTACCATGTACTCACAAACACAGAATTGAGAATGTTCAAAGAGAAAAAGGGAGATTTAGATTAGTGCTTACTCTTCAAATTTGCTTTGAAGTAGAGATTTTACTAGAGGCAGTAAGTCTACACAGCAGCCAAGTGAAATATATTGCTTTTCTTCCTGTAAACTAAAGGAAATTCTAAGTTACAAAATATGAACTAATTACAATGTTTTTCTTTAAAGCTTACTTTTTTTCTGAAAAAATAGTTTTTACCTATTGGTTAGAACAGGAAGGCAATCTACCACAACTCCAAGGTCTTCTATCCTGTGAGTACAAGACAGACACCAATGCTTAGAGAGCCAAGGTCCTTACTTGCATTCATATTACAATTTCCATCCTCCTTTGGAGGCATTCAATACTTACTAACAAACAACTTCAGTATTTATCTTGAGTCAAGTACTGAGACATAAAGGGGAAAATAGAGACAGGGCTTGCTTTCCAAGGCCTGAGTGGCTGTAGAAGGTGACAGTTATTCAAAGAGAGACAAACAAGGAAAATACACAGAGCAGGATGCTAATGGTAAAGCTACAGAGGAAGAGAAAACAGAAAGAGATGGAAAGAGATGAATGACATCTTTTTAAAGTAAGTACTCAATGAGGCATCAATTAGGTATCAGTAAGGGAGTATTTGAGAGACTTAAATAAAATGAGGTCATGCTTAAAATTCCCAAAGAGTTTCTTTTTTTCAAATGCTAAGTTTCCCACATTTAGTTTTACAGATAAGAAAAGAATGATAATCAGAAAAAGTAACAGCTTTGCTCTATCTGATAAAACAGTTTTCTGTATCCTCATTACACTTAAATTGGTGATGAACATAATTTAAACAATACTTATTCTCTGGATGCTAAATACAATAGTTTAAATTTTTAACCAATAAGAGCTTTTTTAAGAGTCACTTTTCATATCTCATTAAAAACTATTCATGTTAAATAAAGATCAAAAAGTCACACTCACCTCACTAAATAAGCTACAAGTTCACTTATACTTCTCTTTCTCCAGAAAGTCAAAGCTACATTCAATCTCAAATTCCTGCTGAACAGAACTTGAGCCATTGTCTCGTGGTCCTGAGAAACCTGAAAGGCAATCATCTAATGTGTTAAAACCACACTGAAACATGACACAGACTTTTTTTCTTTTTCTTTTTTAATGAAAACAGTCTGGTAGACACAGCTTTAAATTATACAAAGGCAATGCCTTATACTGGCCCTCAGAAAGGAATATTACAGTTTGCAGTTGAATACAGCGAATGAATGATGTGAACAAATTTAGGACTGTTTCTCTCCTCCCCCTTGCTACCAATTTTCAAAACTCCCAGTAATTTATAAAGTAAGTTATTTCTAGCTGACCCAATTTTATGCATGTGAACACAGGAAAAGGTAAGCATATAGACTAGTAATCATCAAATGAGCAGCACGAGGGAGGGGTGTAAACCTAAGTTCTGTCCTGTTAGAAATGTTACAAATGCACCATCTAAATGTATTTTTAAAAAAGTTAATACATGGTATGAAAACTTTAGCTCAAAATTATTTAAAACAAAAAGTGAATATTCTACTGGCTAAAGTGTCTGACATCATTCTCCAGAAACAGTTAGAGCTACTAAATTGGAATGTGTCTTCCAAATTATGCTTTAGACAATGACAAATAGGTACATCCGAAAGTTAAAAATAACATTTTTAAAAACTTTTCTTTTTGCCTACACATAAACATATGAATCTATGAACATTTTCAATGCTAAAATACATATTGACTTCATTTACCAAAAAGCAATAGCATATTTTTAGTCTTTACATATTACCATTTACTTAGAATATCTCTGGTTTTTCTATTTAAACTGTTTCTGTGAATGTCATGATGTGTGTAAATATATGTGTTTGTATAATTGCTTTCCTTAAGAGTTAAGTTTACAGTTATAGGAGGTAGTAGCAGGTTTGCGGACACAGGTCTCCACTAGGCAGCTCTAAGAACCCAGCAAATGTACTGGATAGCAGGCTTCAGTGATCTGCCTTTTAAGGCAAAATGTCTTTCCCCCCTTTCTTTAAGTTTCTCCTTGCCAACCTGTCATTTTGGATATTTATGGTAGCTGTCAGGCATTTCATCCTATTCTAGAAGCTAATTTAGAGATGGGGGAGGGGGGTGTTAATCTGTACAACTGTCTTAGGGAATTATCATCATGCAAATATGTATTTAATGGCTGATATCCGCTAAGAGACTAACACAAGGGGGAAAAAACCAAGAAACCAGAACCAAACCAAAGCAACCCAGGAGTACAATATCAATAAAGTTAAGCTAAAAATGACTTACCTCAGAAAAGAAACCACTATATTTTGACGATGGGCTTTCTGTCTGTGAAGACCCAGAATCACTGGCATTAACTACAAATGTTCGACTATCATGGCGCAAATTTTCGGGCAGATGGCCTGCACAAGCCAGTTCATTTTCTTTATTTGCCATGTCACAGCCCCCACTTTTAGGGGACTGCTTAGTTCTGTAACAAGGATTTGGAAAGGGATGACGAACTAACTTTTTGTGATAGAGCACCTTGCGCAGTTTATCTGGGCTTTTCACAGCTTGTCCAACTGTTCTGTAAAAAGAATTTATTTTCTTAAGTGAAACAAAGAAAAGTTTTTAAATGAAGGTTTAATTTTACAACTGTAACCCACTAAAATTAGAAGATAATAATTTAAAGTCAATTCTTATTTAGAAGAGGAAAATAAAAGTTACAAATTATCTGGAAGGCAATGAACAGAATGTGGCAAGTTGTATGACATGAAAACAAAAAAGGATAATAGCTGCTGTTTTTACAATAAAATATTAAAGGCCATTATGGGAACAGGAAACGAGGAACACTTTTGAGACAGCTAAGGTTTTTCTAAACAACTAAAACTTATTTTCTAATAAGTGAAAAAGTATTCACATTTGAATATTTTAAATTTATTTATTTTAAGCTGAAGCATACTGAATTTTGTGCATGAAAAGAACACAAAAGAGAAAATCTCACAGAGTACAACAGTTTCCAGATCCTTTGGGACTATTTATTATTTTGTCTTTTTTGCTTCCTTACACCATAAGAGAAGCAGTTTTCTCTTACCATGACAGACTGCCTCAACACAGACCCAAAGGCAACAAGTCCTAGACTGAAGTTCTGAAGCCAGGAGCCAAAAGCAATTGTTTTCCTGAAACAGGGTCTTTTCCTATGTGACTCAGGCAAAGTGTGCATTCCTAATTCTGCTGCCTCAGCCTCCCAAGTGCTAGGAATCTAAGCATGCAGGACCACAATGGCCCCAAAATGTTTCTTCCCTATAAAAAGTCACAGTACTGGGAAGCTAACTACAAACATACTATCATAGAATATTTCATCAAAAGAAATAAGGTTTTCAGAACAAACAGAAAAATTATGAAAATAGCTGTTTCACAATTTTATCAATTTTTGAGTCTCAGATTAATAGAAGACTACTGTATTTTCATTTCTTGTCTCTATTTGGTCTCTTGTTATTTAATTTTATGCTATTTCTGAACAACTTTTACTGTACACTTGTAAAAGAGTAGAAATGGACAAGGTGAACAAGGACTTCAAAAACTCTCTGTAAGGGTCTCAGGGATTCCCGGGTCCTCAGATCACACCTTGGATACACGCAGTTTAGAAAGCTGCCATCTTGGGAACTCTGGGAATGCAGGCCGTTTTTTACTATTTCTGGCTATATGATCCTGAGCAAATCACTTATTCCCTCTGACTATTAGTATTCTCTTCACTGTATAGGAATAATGGCATCTACATAAGGAACAGATAATATTGAAGTAGTACACAGCCTGGCACAGAGAACTGTTGACAACAAGTTAACTACAATTATAATAAAAAGAATACTTATTTGTTTTATGTCTTCATCTCTAACCACTTCCAATATTTTCCAACAAACTTTAAAGAAGCTCTTACCTACTTATGTAAGCAGCCAACTGTTTTGGAGATTTCTTAACCTGAAAAATCAAAGTAAATAGTGGTATCATGTTTAGTTCTTTAGTAGAGTTATGAAAACTTTATGACTGATGTCAACAATGCAGCTTAAAATTCAATAGGATATTTTTTCAGGTCAGTGTTTTCTCTGTCCTAATACCATGGTTTCAACCACTAGGTACACTACTGTATTTTGGTATGTTTGGGAAAGCAACATATCTACCTGTCCCTTTTCACAATACTTGTAATATACTGAACTTAAAGGGTGCTTAATAAATCAGTTCAAGTTTAATGTGGTTTAAAGCAAATTATTTCAGTGCTAATTAACCTTTCAATGAACAAAAGGCATCTCTCAGTTCCTTGTCAACTAAAACATTTACACTACAGCTTATAAAAATAACTTACCTGCCAAAATTGCCTTATAACTTTAGGAATATAGTAATAGTTATGCTTCATTAATTCTACTTAATCTAAGAGATTAAACAGATCTGATAGTTTAAAGTGTCTTACTTACCTCCTTCATGTTCTTACTAGTGAAATTAGAGATCCTCTTTCTAGGAAGATCAATGGGATGATCCTCAATACTATTAGAGAAGTTTCGTTTTTTAACATGGTGGGTGTCAGATGCCATAATCTCTTAAGTGCCTAAGAAAATAAAAATAATAAATAGAAAATTTTAAAAAAATTGAAGAACCTGATCTTTTATAGCATGTACATACATATACATCAACAGCTCTGTGCTATGCAAATGAGGCTCAATAGTAAAAAAGGACATACTTCGTATGTGTGTGTGTGTGTGTGTGTGTGTGTGTGTGTGTGTGTGTGTGTGTGTACATCAAATCTACAATATACAGAGATTATGGTTTTCCTGAGAAGCAATCCAGGCTGACCTGAAACTCAATGTTCCAACTTTGCCATTGCCTCCTAAATTCTACAAATGCAAGTATGAGCCTTGTTTTAAATATTTCTGAAACATAGAAGCACAACATACAGTATCCCAGGAAATTTAAGGGTCTCTACCTTCTCATGGTTTAGTCTGGAGGCTGTTTTGCTGTAGAGTGAGAAACAAGGCAAGACAAAACCACAGAAGCTAGACTATAAAAGGGTCTCTAAATATAAACCTCATTAAGAAAAAAAAAAAAGCGCAAAGAATGCCCTCAGTTAGAGACAATGGACTAAACATTTCCAACTACTTCTGTCCTTCTGAAACTTCATTAAAATGAGAAGTAGAGTTTTTAAAGGCATAATATTACCATTATGGAAAAAAAGAAGAGATAAGAGCAACAATTTAGAAACTGCAAAGCCAAAGTGGTAACTGACTTAGAAGGTTTTTTCAATGTAACACACACACACACACACACACACACACACACACACACACACACACACACCTACCTCTGTATTTCATAAAACACACACAACGAAATTCTAAATCAGCAAAGAAATGTGAAAAACAGAATCAAAGTTCAGAAACTGGTACTATCAAGGACATCAAGGTCAGGATAAAGGAAATCCAGAAAACAAGTGCACTGACTGAATATCATCAATGCACTGTTAGATCAATAAACCCCCTTCCCCAGCCCAGTCAAAGATCAAAGTGGTTTTTATTGTTTGCTTGCTTCCTTTTGACAAAACGCCTGATTTGTACCCCAGGCTGGCTTTATATTCCAGATTCTCCTACCTGGGCATCCTGATGGATGAGGTTAGTATGTGCCAGGACTACAATTTTATTCTATGAAAAATGTAAACCCAAGTTCTTAGAATAATATCAGGCACAAATGCAGTTGAAAGAACATATTCTAAAAATCAAGAAACAAATATGAGTTTACATGCTAAATTTTGAATCCCTTTACCTTCTTTCTTCCACTTGGCTTATGAAGGCTTGCAATCAAGCTCATATAATCCAACAAGAGTATAAAAGATGGTTCTTTGGAACACTGACCAGCCCCACAGTAAATCACACATACACATAAACCTATGGATATATACACATACACACATCCCTTAAAAATATGGATATAATGGTAGTAAAAGTTGCCAAAGAAGTTTCTGTATCTAGTTTACAGTGGTGCTTACATGCTCTCTCTCTCTCTCTCTCTCTCTCTCTCTCTCTCTCTCTCTCTCTCTCTCTCTCTCTCTCTCTCACACACACACACACACACACACACACACACACACACACACACACACACACAACACAGAGTCTTAATCTAAGAGTGGTGCCTTATGCCTGGAATCATACATTTGCCGGTAGAGACAGAAGGATCTCCATAGGTATAATGACAATCAGAGGTGTATAAAGTGAGACCCAGTTTCAAAAAACAAAGCAATTAAAATATTGTTAGAAATTTTAAAATAGGATATATTAAGACTGAAACAAACAATAAGAAAAAACATCAAATAGATGGAAATGTAGAGATGGCTCAGCAGTTTAGAGCACTGGCTGCTCTTCCAGATGACCTGGATTCAATTTCCAGCACCCACATGGTAGCTCACATGGTCTGCAATTTCAGTTACAGGGGATCTGACATTCTCTTCCTGCCTCAGTGGGCACTGAATGCATGTGGTGCACAGACATACATGCAAGCAAAACACCCACCCACATTAAAAAAAAAATTAAAAAACAAACCAAAAACCTCAACAGAAACTGAAAAGAGAATTTTCAGGGCATCTTCCAGAACATACAGGCAAATGATAAAAAGAATAAGAAGATGGGCTTAGAGGGAACCAACATCCAAACAAAAAGAAGTACAAGGAAGAATAAAGAGAGACCAATTAGAAATCATTGAGGAAATTTAAGAAAACTATACAAAACTGAAGGTCACAAATTTCTAGATGAAAACAGCTCCACCTGAGTCACCATAATGAAAGAAAACAGACCTTGAAGGTACATCTCCAAATTTCAGAATTAAACAACAAAAAAAAAAAAAAAAAAAAAAAAAAAACCCAAAAACCTAAAGAAGGAAGCATGATTCAGTGATTTAAGAACATTGATTAAGAAAAAGTGGCCTGGCATGGTAGCATACACTTTTAATCCCAAGACCTGGAAAGCAGAGGCAGGAGATTTCTGTGAGTTAAGAGGCCAGCTTGGTCTACACAGCAAGTTCCAGGCCAGCCAGCAGTATAGAAAGATCCTACTACAAAACAAAACAAAAGTCCTAAATTCAGGCAACTTACAGCTTCCTATTTAGTCAAATATGAGGATAGCAATCACTCAAAGTTCAAAACAAATTCCTTTCCAGTAGCAAGAATAACAAGATAAATGGATTCTAACATGGAGTCTAACATTCTAACAGTGTAGATTTTCTGATCTACACTGGAACAGGCTATAAAGCTTAGAAGAAATGTATCCACAGAAATGAAATAGGTTCAAAATAAAAGCTGGGCCAGGCGTGGTGGCCCATCATAGCACTTTAGTCATAGCACTCGGGAAACAGAGGCAGGTGGATCTCTTAAGTTTGAAACCAGCCTCGTCTACAGAGTGAGTTTAAGACAGCCATGGCGACACAGAGAAACACTGCTTGAAAAAAACATAAATAAATAAATGAAATAAATACTGGATACCCATTAAAGGAAAGAGGGGAGGATAGAGAGGGAGGGGGGAGAGAATACTATCTAAGAGCCAGAAGGAAATGGCATACTTTAAAGTGTTACAACAAACAATCCTCCCTGCCAACCCAGACTTCTATAATCAGAAACAATATTCATCATGAATGAAGGGGGAACACTGATATTCCCATATGAAAAAAAATTAAGATAATTCATTCCAGCCTACAAGAATGGCAAAGGGGCTGGAGGAGTAGCTAGTGGTTAAGAGCACACACTGCTCTTGCAGAGGACCTGAGTTTGGTTCCCCACATCCATATCAGGTGGCTCAGAGCCATCTCTAATTCTGGGGATTTGATGTTGACATCCTCAGGCATCTTTACTCATGTGTACAAACACATACACTCACATAATTTTAAAAGATTTTTAAAAAATTAAGTGGACATTTGTTCTTGAGTTTTCAAAATTATTTTTGGTGGCTGAAGCATTTTATAACACTATATGAACACTGTTCAAAATATACATAAAGGGAGAGTATTTACGGTAACTCTAAGTGGTAGAAGGTAAAGGGAAATAAAGAGGTAAGGTTTCTACATAACTTCATTCAAACTGATAAACTGCCAACATCAGTAAATGGCTGTGTGTGTGATACCAACATCAATAAAAGGCTATATTAAGAATTATACTTAAAAAACTGTAGATAAACTAGAGTAACAATATTTAAGTAACTAATAGAAAAGCAAGATAAAGAAAAGAAAAAAAAGAACAAAAACCAAAAATGACTGACCTAAGCCTAATACACAGCAATTTACCTTATACTTATTTAAAATTTATCATTATTATTATTATTATTATTATTAGTGCATGTGCATGTGCATGTAAGCCACAGTGTACCTGTGGAAGTCTGAGGACAATTGTTTCTCTCCTTCTCCCATGACAGGAGTTCTAAGGATTAAACTCAGGTTCTGAGGCTTGTGCAGTAAGTACTTGACCTATCCAGCAGTCTGGATGGCTCTTATGTTATTTAAATGGTGTATACACACTAGTTAAAACAGAAATTGGCAGAGCAGATTAAGAAACATGACCTACCTATATGCTGTCTATTTTATATTGTCTAGTTTTTGTTTTTTTAGACAGGATTCCACTACATAGCCCTGGCTGGCTTCAAACTCAGAGATCCACCTGCCTCTGCCTCCCAAGTACTGGGATTAAAGATATATGCCACCTTGACCAGTTATATATATGGTGCTGAGTATCATACATGTTAGTCAAACACTTTCCCAAATGAGCTACATCCCAACCACTCATGTAGCATTTTTAAAATAAAAGACACTAATCATTAGGAAAACAAAATCAAAGCCACATGAGGTACTACTTCACACCCACTAGATGGCTACGCAACGAAGACAAAAATAAGTGCTGAGAAAGGTGTGGAGAATCTAGGACCTCCAGGTATCACTGTGTAGAGTAACATGACACTGTGTCCCTCCCTTTGTCAGTACTGGGGATGAACATCTAGGGTGACATGTATGCAAGGCAAGTGCTCTCCCAGTGAGCTAAAACCGCAGCCCCTGCAAGTTTCTTAATGTTAAATACAAATTTACCGTAAGAATCAGCAATTTCACACTTACTGAAGGGGAAGGAAAACGTGTTTACAAAAAATTTGTATGCAAATAATGAGCATAGTCGGAAGACAAACATTTAGAATGTTTATCAACTGGTTAGCAAATAAAATGTGGCATATCTATACAGAACACTACTCATCAGCAAAAACGAGTTAAGTACTCATAAATCTGTGTATGCATGAGCAGTACAGTAAGTAAAAGAGGCCATGAAAGGCACATCATGTGACAGAATTCCATTTATATGAAATGTTCATAAAAGTAAACTGTATAGACAGAAAACAGATTGTTGGCTGCTTCAGCTGGAGTAGGAATGGAAGTAACTGCACAAGGGTACAAAGCTTTTCCCAGCGACAGAAATGCTCTAAAGATCTATTGGGACTGGAGAATGTTCCATATTCTAACATTACTTACAACTTCTAAACGTCAGAAGAAGCATACATTTTCTTACAATAACACAATGCTTACAATCAGCTT